GGAGGGGGGAAAAGAATAGGAAGAAACCGACACCAGATGACGCGTGGAGATTACAGTTGAAAAGTCGACTCGCTTTCTGATGGGAGAGTGGGAAAACGTGGTGTCCCAGTTGATGCGTTGGCGGTGACGGACGGATTTTTTTATTATTATTAATTTTTTTTTATTTTTTTCGTTTTCCCTTTCTTCTACTTATTAAGAAATTTGAGGAAAATAAATTGGTTTTTTTCACTAAAGTCGTATTTGATTGAGCTTTATATTCTCAAATTTCGTTAAGATTGTAAAGTGAACAGTCTGATCTGAGATAATTATAATTATAATATAACTTTCTTAATATCATTGATAGGAGCTCGTCGTTAAGTAAATGTAAAAGATGACATGAGCTTAAATACTACTTTTTACACCTATTTTTAATTTAATGTCATTTCAAATTATTTCTATGTATTATATTATGATTATAATTTTTATCTTATCAATTCCACTATGATCTTAATTTCTTGTCGAAAATTTGTTTTCTAACATCCATGTCGTGTATAATAAATATATTGATATCTTATTTAAAAATTATTATATAAAAAAATTATGTATATCCAATCGCTCCATGATTTCCATTCATAGATTCACAGTTATTCTACTTTCATTACTCAAAAAATTATATATATAAAAATACAGCCAAAAGGTTTAATTTATATAAATTATTTACTTCATGGAACAATTGAAAAATGATTTTTCTTGGTGTACAAGAGGGGTTTACAAAGTCCATGGAAAAATGAGAACAGTTACAGCGGTGCAAATACGATGTTGCAGAAAGGAGAAAGTCAGTCAACTGCTTATTTTAATTTAAAGCTCATTTGGTACGGATTAAAATTTTTCATTTAAGTTTAAGTCAAATAATTAGAGCCTGTTTGGGAGTGATTTTGAGAATTAATTTTCTGACCGTTAGGAGAAAGGTGGGGTCCACCTGTGAGAGAAGAAATCAAATATGACGGCTAGAATAGTAAAATAACGGTCAAAAAATCAATTTTTTGGGAGGAAAAATCGCTCCCAAACAAGCCTTTAATATTAATCACATCTTTTATAAGCCCACAACTTTTCAATCACATTTCAAAAACTTCTATCACAATCTACTAAAAAATCTAATTTTAATACCTACCAAATATCCTCTTAATTTGTTTGTGTTGCTTTGCTTAAGTTTTCAATGTGAATTGATTATGTTAGCCACTGAATCACACTACTATTTGTATAACCCGTGTTTGGCCCTCATTTTGTGGAAAAATTAATGTATGGAATAGTATTTTTTTGAAAAATGAGTGATTAAAAAAAAAGAAAAATTTTCAATTTACGTGTAATATTATTTTATGAAAGATTGTGTGGTTGAAAATAGGAGAGAGAAAAATAAAATGGAATGGAATGAAAAGTAATAGGGGCCAAGCGGGAGCATAATATTTTTTACAATTTTAGTTGACAAATACACGTTTGATAATATCACATTCATCTATTTTAAAAGAACCAAACTATCTTGCCAATGAGGGTTTGATAACCTTCTTGGTAGACACTCACAATAGGAGGGGGTGGATGTACTTTTTTAGCATTTTTTATTCAAGCGAGTCACACGCAGGTCCCACCGCTGTGAGATACATCAAGCAACATGTCAAAACTTTTCTTGCAAAGAAGTTTCATTCATTTTAAAACTGTTTTTTTAAATCAACGATCCAAATTTTGACAATGTCAATGTTGTCAATCACAATTGTACAAATAATTTTTTTCATAATATAATCCTTGTTTGATTTGGTTTGATTATAGATAAGATTTTTAATATAATAATAATAATAATAATAATAATAATAATAATAATAATAATAATGAAATGAGTGATCGAAAGAGGATTATGACTATTTTCGTATTTAAACTGGCCATTGACAAGGCAATCATCGTACCCTAAGCACTAAACAGTTTGGGGTCTACGAGTCAAACTAAAACTTGGTTTACTTACAATTTAGCTTCTCTGCATTGAGTGGTGTTTTCATTCTTTGTCATCAAGAAACAATAAGGCTATGTTTAATAGCCACTTATTTTCTAGAAAAAATGGAAAATAAATTCTAACTTTCACTTTTGACCTGTTTGATTGACAAAAATTTTCAATGAATTCATTTTTCACCTTTGGTCACCACATCAACAATTTTCTAGCTTTTTTTGGAATTCGAATTCTCAACATATTGGTAAGAATTCGTTTTTCGAGTTACTATAGCATTCTTTTTTCATTTTTTATTTGTTTTTTGCTGCGTTGGCAATGAAAATAAATTCTAAGAATTATTGTAAAAAAATATTTCTCTTTAACTAACAATTTCCATATAAAACAAAGTGAAACGAATACCAAAGGATAAATGATTTTCTTGATTTTTATTTATTTATTTATTTATTTTTGATTGACAATTAAAACAAATTTCATTCCTAATACTAGTAAATTATATCCATTTAATCGACAATTTTCATGTAAAACAAAGCCAAAAGAACACTAAAAAACAATTTTATTTCAACATTTTCCACGTGAAAAATTATACCAATCAAACACAATAATTTACAATTCCCAGGAAAACAATTTCTAAGCAAATCAATTCCCTGAAATTCGTTTTCAATTCAATTAATTACATCTTTGTAATTAAATGAACCCTAATTCTTTTTTCAACAGCACAAGAAAATAATATCCGAAGTGCCAAGAAATTTAAAATCAACACAAATGCTTTTAATAGCGAGCAAAAAATGGTACGGGTTAACAGACGAAACTCCTCAAAAGTTCGTCTTGGCCAACATGTTTATATGCAACGATGAAGTACTAGAGTTAAACAATAACATGTTCGCAATAATGCCTTATTAATCAATTAATAACTTATATGACAGTTTCAAACCAAAAGGTAAAATGCACAACCAATCTTGACATGGTTTTGCATTATAGAGGCCCTGGGAATGTTCCATTCTCCCTCTGCTCGTTCCACTTCTCAACCTGCAATAACCAAAAAGGTCAATGAAAATCAACAATTAATTTTCAACTAAACGGGGAAAATAGAAAGAAAAACGAGAAATAAACAGATATAAAAGCTGCAGTCTGCAAAGAAGTAATAGCAGAAAGTTGTTTGTGCTATTGTAGCACCAACGAACGTTTCCATTATTCAGCCACCAAGGATAAACAACGAGATTGACTGGTAGACCACTCAGTTGTTAACTGAAAGCATGTAATGGTTTTAAGTTCATATCAGGACAAGTCATCTGCCAACTACTCTCCATCATAACCATGCTAAAGCATAGCCCATAGGGAATGGATTCAGTCACTTGATTTTACAAGTTCTTAGAACCTCAAATAGCAACAGAACAGAAAGATTACAATCTCAATAATTTCATGTAAATCTTGTAGGAGATTACCATCTCAAGACAAGCAAAATCAATCCTTAGGGTCAGGTTGAATAATAAGCCTCTTTAGGGGAATAAATAAATAAAATAGATATATGCCCCTTTACTGTCAACTAGTCGTAGTCAACGGTGCGTTATTTTTAGATTTTATTTTTAAGTCCTATAAAACTGTGAAATTTTTAATAAGGTTGTAAAACGCATATATTAATAAAGTCAAAGTACAACATAAAAATATGAACATTACTATTATAATGATAAAGATAAGAATCAAAATCTATCAAATTACATCACACAATTTAGCCATGTGTGCCCTACAAATTTAGAGAACCAAGTGCAAGTTGCCATGGATATGGGAGTTTGACAAAATGGTTTGGCTTTACAAGATATGTAGTCGAAGGAAAAAAAAAAAGATTTATATTGCAATTGGTAAGATTGTTATTATTATCATCTAGCTTTTTATCTATAAAATGTAATTGAACATGAGAGGTTTATTTGTTCTTTCTCACTATAACCACCTACCAAGATGAACTTAGATGTTTGCAGGAACACAGTGCTTTGGAGTCAATAGAAGAAAATGGGACTTACAAGAGGATAAAATTATAAAAAGAAGTGTAATTTTGTCAACCTATACGTACAAAGAAAATAATTGACATTGAGTATAACCTAAGTTTTCCTTTACTTTCTCGCAAAGCCAAACCGTTTCATCAAACTGCCTTGTCCATGTCCACATGCCCTTGCATGAATGCATACGAAAGGCACTTTCATTCACGACTTTGCTAAGTATAAATTCAATGTCACTAGCTCTATCTCCCCAGCAGTCACCATTAATTCTTCCCTTTAGTAAGTCTAGGTATTTATTCATTCTGAAAGCTTTGCAGAAAGACTGGTAAAATCTTCTTGGGAGCACTGGAAATGGCTTCAGTAGAAGGAGAACTCGTTAATCATCCACCACCTAATAAACACTGATCGGTGCCTTATCTTATCTTAACACATATGGTGCAAACAAAATTTACTTTTTATTTATTAAAAAAAAAGGGTTAGTAATACAGAAAATACATATGCCCCTGTTTGGTGAAAAATCAAGATTTTAATCCAAGCAAAGTTAACAATTTAATTTAACCACACATTTAATGGGACCCAATACTTTTCAACCAACCACACATTTCATCAACTTCTACTAAAAATCTGATTTCAATTCCCACCAAACAATGGCATATAAAGGAAATATACAGTAATAACAAAAAGGGGAGGCTTCAGTGTGTGTAACAATAAGTTTATTACCAAATATTCCTATATTGCTGTATTATTCTTACAGATCAATTAAGTGCTAATGTTTGATCAGGTATTAAATAAAAATTGATGAAGATTGTGTGTATGAAAAATAGAAAGCATTTGATACCCTTACAGGTCACCATTGAATTTGATGTGAACCTAATTGATGCCTTAAGTTCGGCCATTGACATGAATATAACCAAATTCTGTATCTGAAAATTTTTAAGTACTTCTCCCCAAGATATTAACGCATGAGATTCTCAAGGCCATGCAATGTGTTTAGTTTTAGGCTTCAAGATATTTGCACGAAGTCCATCTCAAAACTTAAAAGAAAGTAGGATCCTTGGCAGTTAACATTCTCTTTGATGCAACAGAAAGTGTTTTTTTTATCTTTTTTCTTTTTTTCTTTTTTTTTTTTTGGGATGGGGGGTGGGGGGGTCGAGAGATTGAAGAGGAAATAACTCGTCTTTCATCATCATATAGAGAAAAGGTCCATATTTTGAAGCAAGTATTGAGCTAAATGGGCTTCAAGAAAAATATATTACGTCAAAAATAAAATAAATTTTTCTTCATCACTTGATATCTTAAAAATGATCTCACTTGTAAATATTGCTCAAATATACCAATCATACACGCACAATTCTGAATTTCTTATAAAGGAGATCTTCATATTCAAACATAAAAGTATGCAGTTATAAGTAGGACCAACTACGAAGTGCATGGGTTATTTATGTTTGTGTGTGCATATGGGATAATACTTGTATATATTTATCATAGCACCAAAAAACCAAAATTTTAAAATCATATTGCACCAATAAAAGACCATGATTATCTAGGGAAATCAACCCAGTAGCATATTAACTCACCCATTCGCCAGGGCAAAGGGAACGATAGTACTTGGCAAACATTCCACAATCACCAGATTCTTCTCCCTTAGCAGCCACACACCTGACAGCATACACGCAGTTAATTAGTTCCAGGTAACAGAAAAATTATACACATTTCTTTTAGAATGACGTATAGCTAAACTTCAGCTTCTTTTTATGTTTTTGAAGCCTTGCAGGTACATTCATCTATCAAGAGTTGCAGCCTGTATCAAACTTTTGGGCACCCTATCATGTCCAGAGAACAAACTCCAAACGAAATAGCCTTAAACTCATCCTATCAACTAAGCTCAAGGAATAGCATGCTGCCGCCACAGCGACACCCAAAAAAAAAAAAAAAAAATTAAATAATAAATTAAATAATAAATAATAAAGATCTTAACATTAACATGTTACACATTGACAAGAATTTTAATCTGACATGAATAACTTCTTTTGGCCAAAAAGCCATTCAGTTGACTTATAAGACAAACACGAACTGCTCAAATAATCAAAAATAATGAGAAAAGATGAAAGGTGGGTTAATTTGAGGAAACCCAGACCTCCAGATATTGATACTCCAGGAACTAATAAGTCTCCCAATTACAAACAATAAGTTTGCAGAAATAATTCATCCATATATTATTTATTATCTTCTCGGAGTTTAAATACAAGATAAATCATTCGTGTTCACCTAAAAATATGGAACACTAACAATTCCATATATCCCTAACAACAAAATACACTTACTCTAAACTTCTTAGAACGTTTCCAAGACATTCTCTAAATACATAATGCTCTCTATTTTTCAGAGTTAGTGTTCAAATAGCTCCAACAGACTCTATTTTAATTTTTTGAAGTAGAGAGTGTTTAGCTCTATAAATACTCACTATTCTTACTTTATTTTGATTGGATTTAATGGGTTACAAATTTCAATACTTCAATCCTTAAATTGCTCAAATCACATTTGCATTGGACATATAACAATATATGTTTAATAAGATATGAGAATAATTCAATAAATGTTTCTTAGGGGAAAAAAAATCTAAGAGTAAAAATGGATAACATTATTAAAGTGCATAAAAAGTTTTTAACTTATAGATGCTCTCTATTATACATAAGATGTTTTTCTAAAAATATAAAGTCTTTTGGAGGTGCTCTTAGACTAAGTCAAAAAATAAATAAAACATAAAATAGAATAGAGTACAAAATAAAAAATTGGAATTGTAACATCGTAAAAACCATAAATCGCGTTTCAAGCTTACAAAATGGTTGTGTTTGCATCCAATGTGTAAAAATAAGATTGCTACCCAACTCAGCCTTCATTTGTCAAATTTATAAATCAAATTTTGTAAAAATGAATAGCAGTGGATCTCACGAAATGTATGGATAATAAATAAGTAGTAGTTATGAATTTGTGGTTAAAATTAATGTTTGACTTTGACTGAATTTATAAATCAATTTATAAATTTATTCCCAGATGGGGCTATAAATATAACATATACTGAAATCAGAAGTAGAGCCAAGAAATGAATTGAGCGGGGGCGGAGTCAACTAATAGAGATTTGCCTATTCTAGTAGGGTGGAGATAAGGAGTTTAAAGAAATTTTCTCCTATTTAAATCAACAATATAAGGGCATATATTGAGAGAGAAAATCAGTGTGACTATGTGGATTGAGGAGGCAAACAAAAGAGAAAATGTTAACAAATTTCAAAAGGAAAAAAAAAAAAAAAAAGTATCTCCAAAATTCAGCTGATTGTTTTTCTTTCTTTTATTATTTTTTTTTTTAAATACCAACTTTTATTTGTTAATCTGATAACTCTATAGATAGTTATTGTTTAAGAATTAACACAAGCAATACCAAAAGCAAAAAGAAACAATTTTTTTTTTAAAATCAATTTAGGCATTGACTCAAAAGAGATAAAGGATAAGAATTAAAAACTGAACCGAAATCAAACTACATGACAAAAACAACTAATTAAAAAAATAATTTGCTAAGTTCAATGTGATAACTAGTTTAAATTTTATAGAAATTGAGACTTTGCCTAACTCGTAAGAAATAAAATAATATTTAATTACATTGGTAAAATTTTAAGATATATTGTAATGAAATATCAGTTATGTAAAATCTACTACTCCATGTTAAACCCTCCACTACCAAAACAATCAACAGCATGAAATCCCTGTTGAATTTAATGCAAAAATTCTGTCTATTACAAGAAAATTGGACACTTATACCTGTGATGCTCTGGACTCGGGCATGAGCACATATCTAAATGTTGGATCTTTTATTTTCTAAAATATAGGATACGGAAACATGGCTAAAAAGAGCCCAAATTTTAGACACGGGTACGTCAATAAGTCTTTCACACTTCAATTTTGAATGGCCCAGAAATTCATGTGTAAAAAGTTAGATAATAACTAAGTGGCGAAATTGTTAAAAGATAAAACATGTCAATTAAAATCAACTAGAAATTTATACTGAAAGTCTAAAACACCAAAAACAGCATAAATTTACATGACAAGAGCACAAAATTAAAATTAAAATTAGAAATTACATAATTACAATTGCCATACCCACTTGAAAATTGAAGGATCCCCCCATATTCATACATATACCCATACACATACCCATTTCGTGTCGTGTCACGTCCTGTCATGTCATGTCGACAAATGTATGCGATATGCCCACCAAAATGCAAAGTCCCAGAATCATAGACTTATACAACTTCATTGAGTGTTATATATACACAACTATACCTCACTTGAATTTTCATCAAAGCACCACTAATGCACTCAGCTCTTTTATCTTTCTCTATCTCACTTCACTCATTCACCATGACTACATGCACTATCTCGTATATATAGGGTGCAATGTTGGTGGCTGCACCTTCTACTCATTTCCCATATGGCGTTGGAAATAAATTACCCAGCAACCATTCTAGAACCTTTTTCTTTTTGCGCCAATTGTGGATAATCAGATGAAGCACCCAAAAAACATATGGAAATTTCCTTGCAAAGTTGGTGATGCTCTTACAATCCCATCCGAAATCCATAATTATCAATTAGTACTCTCTCTCTCTCTCTCTCTCTCTCACACACACACACACGCACACTGTAAGTGTGTGTACGCTTATACATATACATACGCCGAATCATAATCTACAGAACGGAAAGGGACATTCTCAAATATACAAAAGGATACTAAGAAAACATCAGATTTCCTCGTCATTTATCCAATGTCAGTCTTTGTTCAATTTTATGTCATATTTTGTCACAATGAGCAGCTAAGCCGATTAATCAGTTTAACACCGTCAAAATCTAAATCCATTCAAAGTATTGCATCCTCCGCAGCAACAAATGAATGTGGTATTAAGTCTAAATAAACAAATATATAAATAAAAAAAAATTACCTGTGAAACTCAATGTAGCGTGTGAAACAGTGTCGAGTTTGGTTGGTTGTTGGGAATCGAAAATCTGCTGGCGCAGTTTTAAGTTCGATCTGGTAATGAAGTTGAAACGGGGAAAAAAAATCCTTAATGAGATGGAGCCCAAACAATTCCAAAATTAATGTTCTATGATTTAACATCTAATACCACTCAATCTTAAATCACAATTGAACAAGAGCGAGATGAAAAAGAAGGGTATGAATTCTTGAAACAAACCAGTGACTAGTGAAGTTTGAGGCAAAAATATGTGAAACTAAACAAATGTATGTCCAACATCCAGCAATAAATAAAACATTAAAGGATCAGTAGTAATGTAGCCATCTAAAAAAAAAAAATCATTAATCCACTAAAAGGAGAGAAATAATAATACAGAACAGTATGCTTTGAAATATTTACAGATCATGTCACACAGTGTACCCAGAGATTTGAAATGAAAAGCCTATACGCAGCGGACAATGAAAAATAACAATGGACATTAATTAAAATATAAAAAAACTTGTAGGGATTTTTACCTCGGCCATTGAAGATTTAAATCGATAAGAGAGGACCCTTCGAATCACGAAAAGTTCGATTCCTTTAGGGGGTAACTTTTGGGAATTTAACCAGAAAAGTAAGAAGTGTCAATTGATGGTAATTACTGCCCTGTTCGTGCAGTGACCAATGAGTATTTTGATACAAGGGAAATTTGAACTTTCATCCCCGAGCTTTACAAGCTGTTGCTAATCTACCATCAACCATTTTTTAGAATTAGACATTCCGAACCTTTTACTTAGGGCTTGTTCCGTAGTGATTTTGATAATTAATTTTTTTATCGTTAGGAAGAAAAAAGGGATCCCACTTGTTAGTAAAGAAGTTAAAAATGACGTCTGAAACAAAGAAATAACGGTCAAAATTGATTTTTTTTGGGTAAAAAATTGTTAACAAACGAATGCTTAATTGCAAATAACATCCATGTTGACAAATCCTGTCCAATTTGACTGATAAGGTTAGGTAAAAGGCAACTTCACCCTTAACTTTTAAATAAACCAAAAAGAAAAAATCACATATAACTTCACGAATACGATAATAACGAGTGAATTGTCCAAATTGTCACTGAACTTTGTAAAAAATTTTCAAGAAGTCATTGAACTTTAAAAATCACTTAAATGGTCATTGAACTTTGCAAAAGGTTTCTACGTGACTTAAATAGTCATTGAAAAGGTTTCTCAGGAGTCACTAAATTCAGTGATTTCGTGGAAACATTTTACATAGTTCAATGACCTTGTTGAAATATTTTGCAAGATTCAGTTACCATTTAAGTTATTTTTAAAATTCAGTGACCTCGTAGAAACCTTTTACAAAATTTAGTAACCATTTAAGTAATTTTTAAAATTTAGTGACCCACTGAAAATATTTTACAAAATTCAGTGACCATTTGAACAATTCACTTGATAATAACATATTCACCCCCTTCACTATGAATAGCTAGTAAAGAGATATAATGAGGGACAATTAGAAAGAAAATTATTAAATAAAAAGAGAATAAATTAGGAGAATCTACGAAAACAAGCATAAACTTTCAGCTTAGATATCGAATTTTTCGTCTAGGAGTTCAATCCGAAAGCATTTTTCAATTCTACATAATTTTTGCGGCTGACATTCTCAGACTTTCATGGTCAAATGTCATCATTTAGGGGCGGGCTCATTTGAACATTTTTACTTTCTTTAGACAGCTTAAGGATATTTTCATCTTTACAGTTTTTTAGTTTTAATTGGATTTTTTTTAGTTTCCTAGTTTAATTAAATTTATTTGTACAATTAGAATCTCATTTGAATTAGAATTTGTTTTGAGTCCTTAAATATTTGTTTAAGAGTTTGTAAATTATATATTCGATTCTTGATTGATAAAATATTTTATTTTTTTAATTAATTGGTGGATTCCAAATAATTATTACGTCCGTTCGAACAAAATTCAAGCAATCACCCGATCGTGTATTACGAACAAGACCCTTTTATTATTACTAGTAAGATGCACGTGAAATGCTATAATAGAGTATATAATAGCGTAGAAAATATATAATGTTAATTAGTCGAGCTTTGTATTTTTTGTTACTTGATGGGTTTTAGAGTTAGGGATATCAATACTTTTTATCGGTAAATATAAAATTTTATAAATAAAAAGTTCAGTAGAAGTATACCAGACAAGGTAAATAGAGGTTTATAAAGACATTAATAAAGTTTGAACTAAAAAAGAATTATTTATATCATAAAACAAAAAGGATTAAAAAAATTTAAATCGAACAAAAATTTATTTATAATATGAAGAAAAAAGAAATTTTAAAATAATTTTCAAAAAAAAAAAAATAAGTTAAACAAAAGAAAGTTATGAAAATTAAATAAAGAATATATAAATAATATTTAACTGGAATTGAAAAAAATAAGTTTTATTATAAAGAGAAAAGAATTAAAAAAATTTATTTATAATATGAACAAAACAAATAAAAAAAAAGAAAACATAACATGACGAGGGAAACCTCTCCAAGAAATCTCTCCATGATATGGACACCAAGAGGATTTCTCCATAACACACTGGAGAGAATTCTCTCCAGCATACACGAAGATTCTCTCCGTATGATGGAGAGAAACTCTCCATTTTTTTTTATTTTTTTGTTTGTAATTTGTTTTGTTCATCATATAAATATTTTTTTATTTAAATTTTTTAAATTATTTTCTCTTTATGATAAAATTAAATTTTTATAATTTTAATTAAATAATATTTATATATTTTTTCCCTTTAATTTGTTAAATTATTTAGTTTTTTATTAGTATATTGGTGTAAAATGATAGTTGCACGTGTTATGGATGTGAAAATGCTGTAATTGAGTATATAATAGCGTAGAAAATATATGACGATAATTAGTCAAGTTTTGTCTTTGTTTTTATTTGATGAGTTTTAGATTTGAAGATATACTTTTTTATCGGTAAATGTAAAATTTTATAGATAAAAACTTCAATAGAAGTACATCGGACAAGGTAAATAGAGTTTCATATAGACATTGATAAAGTTTGAACTAAAAAAGAATTATTTATATCATAAAATGAAAAGAATTAAAAAGAATTTTAAATCTAACAAAAAATTATTTATAATATGAAGGAATTTTTTTTAATTTTTTTAAAAAAATAATAATAAATTAAACAAAAGAAAGTTACGAAAATTAAATAATGAATATATAAATAATATTTAATTTAAATTTAAAAAAAGTAATTTTTATCATAAAAAAAAAGAATTAAAAAGAATTTTAAATCAAAAATAAAATTTATTTATTATATGAACAAAACTAATTAAAAAAATGGAGAGTTTCCCTCCATTACACGGAGAGAAGCTCGTCGTCACACTCCATAACACGGAGTTATTCCCTGTTATTTCTCTCCATCACATTATATTCTCATTTTTTTTTAATTTATTTTGTTGCTATTATAAATATTTTTTTTCGATTTAAAACTTTTTTTTAATTCTTTTCCCTTTACGATAAAACTTACTTTTTTGAATTTTAAATAATTATTATTTATTTAATTTTCGCAACTTTCTTTTGTTCAATTTATTATTATTATCAAAAAATTACTTATAATATGAAGGAAAAAATTTTAAATTTTTTTTAAAAAAAGTAATTTTTATCATAAAGAAAAAAAATTAAAAATAATTTAAAATCAAAAAATAAAATTTATTTATTATATGAACAAAACTAATTAAAAAAATAAAAAAATGGAGAGTTTCCCTCCATTACACGGAGAGAAATTCTTCGTCACACTCCATAACATGGAGTAAAAAGAATTTGTTTTGTTTTAAAATTTCTTTTTCTTCATATTATAAATACTTTTTTCGATTTAAAATTCTTTTAAATCTTTTCATTTTATGATAAAACGTAATTTTTTCAATTTTAATTAAATAATATTTTTTTATTTTCATTATTTCAATTTAATTAAAAACCTTTATAATAACTTTTTTTTTGTTTTTTTTTTAATTTTTGCCTGTAGCTCTTTTATTTTTGTTCTTTAATTTGTTAGATCTTTTAGTTTTTTTTAATTAGTATATTGGTGTAAAATGATAATTACAACTCAATTCGTATAACTTTATGAGATTATACTTTATTCCAATATCTCTTGTTCAATGTTTTAACATTTGAATTTTTGGAAGATGGAATATCATCTAGATGTAGTTCAGAAGGATAATTTTTAAAATTAGGATTCTCGATTTTAGTCAATATCTTGATTTTTTCCATTTTTTGGAAAAAAAATTTCATCTCAAATATTGAGATAATGAGTGAATATAACATACATTGATCAAAATTTAATTATTATTAATTAAATTATTAATATTTTTTATAATTATATCTAAAATATATTCAATCATTTTATCATATTGATGGAATAAAATGATGTCGTTTTGTCATTCAATACAGGAAAGCAGTATCGTTTTGTCCTGTAAATTCAATGAAAATGGACAAATAAATTTTTGATTAATAAACAGAGAAGAAAATGAGAAGTATTGGTTGTGTGGAGAAGTAGAGTAAATAGCATGGATAGTTTTGTGAAAAAATAGAAAAGATAGAGAGATAAAAGAGAAATGAAAATGATGATCGCGTGTGAAAGTCAATGAAGTAATATAACGTTTAAAAAAAAAAAAATTGGCCAAGAGTAATTGGGCATGACTCCACAAAAATAGTGCCACAACAAGTGCCTCTTTTATTTTAGTTAGGATTTGCATTTCCATCCGGCGTCAAGACAACTATTCGTCTGTAAAATATCGCTATTGACAGAGTTGAAAGAAACAACATCTTTGCTGTTTGAGAAGGCATCTACACTACCAAGGACTTTACTATATCTATATTTACGTTGATCCCTCCTCCAATATCATTCATCCTGGTGGTGTATTTGAAGGCCGCTTCATTGTTGAGAAACACATTCGATGCACCACCCTATTCTCATCTCCATCAAACGTCTCATTCTCGTCATCGTCCTCTTTGATGACTCTTTAAATTCCTAATTAATTTTTGTCCCCTTCTACTCCTAATTTATGTATAATTCTTCATTGATGAAACACATCATCGAGTCCATTCAATATAACTTGTCATCATTGTCCTCAATTCCACCTTATAAGATGTAGCTTTATCCAAATATTAAATGACAATCCATATTTAAGGAAAGGTACATCTATAAAGACAAAGACATAA